TTGGCTTCATGAGGCTGTTTTCTCCAATTCGGGGGCTTACCAGCTGTGGCAATTGGCCTTGAGCAACGAGACTGATTTTGTATGGTTTATGGAAATGATGCCATATAATTTTTTATTTGATATATTGGAGAGCAGAGGATGGAGAATTAGCTTTGAGAGTTGGATGAGTTCTATTAATGAGTCAGTCATCAGTTGAATTCTCATCTATCCATTCTAAACTCCCTGAAGCTAAGAACAACTTCCTGCTCCAATCTCCATTCTTATCCTACCAAACTGTATTAGACTTCCTTCAACAACTGAGATGTTAGTCACTTTAGATTTCTCTTAAACAGAAGCAGGAATGTGGCAAACAAGCATTCAAGCCAAACTCCCTTTGTTTAAAAGCTTCCTACTTTCTCCCTTGAGGAACACTCACAAGGTTGCCAACTTGACCATGCATTAACTGGGCCAAGTCAGTGCTAGGCAGGATGAAAACCTGGATCCTATCCCCTTCCTCCATAGTATATTTATTTTGTTTTTGATTGTAAAGTCAGATAGAAAGGAGAAGAGACAAAGATGATCCTCTGTCCAATGATTCACTCCCCAACTGTCTGCAATGGCCAGAGCCTCCCCGATCCAAAGCCAGGAGCCCCTTCCGGGTCTCCCATTTGGGTGCAATCCAAAGGATTTGGGCTGTCCTCGACTGCTTTCCCAGGCCACCAGCAGGGAGTTGAATGGAAAGCAGGGCTGCCAGCGTTAGAACTGGTGCCTACATGGGATCCCAATGCATGCCAGGTGAGGACCCTAGCTGCCAGGCTACCATGCTGGGCCCGACTCGAGTCTTTAATCCACTCTATCAAGCACCACTCCAGCTGCACTCATTTTCCAAGCCCACTGTTTTTTCATCCTTTGTCTTCAAGCTATCTTTAGCACCAAAATTTGTACCAGAAGTATTCCAGCCTGGATCTACTTGGTCAGCAGCAGATAAAAACACATTGTTCCCTTCGCATTGGCCTGGCTTAACCATCACTCTTGGCTTCCTGAAATCCTTCCCTAACCTCACAAAATTTCCTGTTTCCTGAGCTTCCCAGAAACATGGAGAGATTTAGGGCTTGGGGTTTCCAAGTTTTTAGGAATGTGTTTGATACAGTTCCCTGGTGTCTTTTTTGCCTTTCTTGAATCCACCCAGTTCCTCTCTATCTACAGCTTCTCCTCCTCCATCCCTCACGAACTCCCCTCAGCCAAGAACCACATTCTCATAAGTAAATTCCACTGTGTAAGCCACAGCACGTCCCCTTTGTAGCAAACGCTTTCCTGAACTGAGGCTCCCCTCTGGGGATCTTGAGACCTGGCAGTTCAAAACAAAGGAAGATGGGAGAGGGATGGTGCTCCCACTGGCCATCTTTGGGAAGTTTTTGGCAGTATTAGGGTAAGAGAGGAATGGAGAAGAGGGAAAAGGCAGGAAGTGCATTAGGCTGCCCTTGTACATGGCTGAACTGCAGGAATGTAGAATTTTGGAGATTTTTACATGGGTACTTGCAGTTTGGGAAATGCACACACACACACATGCACACACAATAGTACAGCAGGTATAAAAGGGCACAAGGATGGTATGTTACCAATTCAGTGGAAATAAATCCACTTCACTTTCCACGCCTTAAGTTCTGCATCAGTTGCCATCTTCCTAAACATTCAGAACATCCCCCCAAATGCAACCAACTAGGTACTCTTGCCCACAATGTACCTGAAACGTGAGAAAAGGCAGCATACCCAGATCCCTGAATTGTCATGAAGTTCTGCCTCGTCCATTAAGTATGAGGTGATTATGGCAGCTTTCTTTGTTACCGTCACAATTTGTTTTTGTCCCTAGCACAGCCTGGGTTTCCTTCACCTGCTGCATGGCATCAGCCGTCACCACCTTCAATACCTACACCAGGATGGTGTTGGAGTTCAAGTGCAGGCACAGTAAGAGCTTCAAAGAAAACCCGGGCTGCCTACCGGACCACCACCGGTGTTTCCTTCAGCAGCTGTCATGTGCAGCCCACCCAGGAGGGCTCTTGCCCAGCTACCACCAGTACCCCAACCAGCCTCTGCGCTCGGTCTCTGAAGGAGTTGACTTCTACTCAGCGCTACAGAACAAGGGGTTTCAACAAGGCACCAGCAAGGAGCTAAAAGAAGTGATTGGGGGCGCAGTAGAGGAGGCTCAGTGTTAGGTGCTAGGTGGGTTTGGAGAGCTGGCTGAGCCCTAGCTTCCATGTATCTTAACATCTGCTTAAGCCACACTTTTGTCTCTGGAGCATGATTTTTAGAGGCTAAGACCACCAGGGGGTCTTTATGTCCAAGTCCAAGGGTGCGCCTGAGTGCCACTGTTCCCTTTCCATCCACGGTTCCGTCTAGTTCTCCCCCAATATCACATGTACCCAAAATTCCCTTCTTTCCTGTCCTGACAGCTTGGGTGCCAGGCTCTGCTCTAAGCCCTGGTGATGAGAAAGAGCAGTAAACACAACTCCTTTCCATAAGAGTCGTACTCATCTGGGAACTGGAGAGAGGTGTGCGATGCAGCAGTGGCTCGTGGCTCCGCTTGCCATGATGCACTTCAACTCTTCCGGAAGTCACATGCTGGCAATGAAAGCACTGCTGACTGCTCTGGGGTATGGGACAGACGTCCCCCACTTGCCTGTCAACAGTGTCCCGTGTCCACATAGCAGGCACCAGCAGGAGTGTTATTAAACAGGACCCTAGAAACCATGCTGAAAAGAGCGTAACATGAGAAGGGTCTTCCAGCCTTGCCACAGGATCAAGTTCACTGCCAGAATACTCTGCTATGTATTCAGATGGGATTGTGGCTCTCATGGAAGGATCACACAGGATTCCTCTCTGGATTCCTACCTTCTCTTGGCTTTTGAGAAAATTTACCCTGCTCTTTTCCCCCATTTAGAAGACCAACCACCCACTTTCCCTTCCTCTCTTCCATAAAGAAAAAAAAAAAAACAATAACAAAAACTAACAAGATACTCCTGATGGCTAAGAAGAATGAGACCGGCACCCGAGTACATTCTGGGACTGTTTATTTGTTCTGTAACAGTTCACATTTTCAGTAGTGCTTCCTGACAACACACCAGCTGGCTCTTCTTCCATACACACAATGAGGTGAGCAGTTCACATTCATAGGACTGTTAGGATCGCCATGCCACAGGGAGGGAGGAGGGGGCTATTAGAGCTGGGCATCTGGGATGGAAGGAAAGAGGAGAGGCTGGCAGCTGGGGAAAGACTCTTGATTCGCCAACATCATCATCATTTCTAAGTCATGGGCACACTGCTGTGGTCGGCAACTCTGCACTGTGGAGAGAGAGGCGTGTGTGCTGATTCAGACCTTTTTAGGGGGTGGCTACCTGCAAGGAGCAGAATGTCTTGGGACACATTGACAAGAGACCAGCACCTGCATCAGAGTCATGTAAAGTTCTTCAATCCCCAGTCACCCATTACCCCATTCCCCTTCCCATGTTTAACGAGGGGAAAAGTCAAACTTGCCATAGAGTTTATGTGACATTCACTGATTGGCTCACCATGAGGAATTTGGTGACATTGCATTTTTCCCCCTAGGGGGGTCACAGCTGTTTCTGGGACTACTTTGCCCCAAACAGTGGCCTCCAAACAGGTCCCCAAGAAACAGGTCCTCAGGCAAGCCACAGGACCACCACCCAGCCAACCACCTGTGAGGCTTTAGAACTCTGCACTAAGCCAAAACAGACCCTAGGCCTTCTCATCAAGCAGACGCAAACCCTAGGAAAAAACAATCTGGGAGTCATCCCCTCACTAGGGTCTCCTGTTTCCCAAAAGTCAGCTTGAAATCCACACATATCTTCTCAAAGATTGAAGCCAAGTTTGCTTTCGAGGTGTCTTAAGGTGACTTAAGATGACAACCCCTGTCAAGCGTAACCTGCAGGCTGGAATGACACGTCAGCTTGGACCTTTCATGACCAACCTCCTGGGACGTCCTAATACCATTGACTGGCACTTCACAGATATCCTGGAATCTATCAGCACAAGCTACAGAGCTAAGCCCAAGTAAAGAGAGCGCCAGATTTGCATTCAGGGATGTCAGATCAAAATTATGCAAAAAAGCAGTTCTCCACCAGCTATGCTGGGATCTTCGGCTATATAACCAGTGGCCTACAAGTACAGAAAGCTTACTAGAAAGAACGCATTTGTATAGAAGGGGTAATGAATGTGAGAGGCAATTCCATACAACGTAACCCCTTACAAAAGTAACTTTACCCAGGAATTTCTTCAAAATAGAATGCCTCAAGGGCTCTAGAAGAGGGGAAGCCTGGAGCTGGGAGCGGGGGATGGCTCTGCATGCTGGACTGAAAAGTCCTAGTTCAGAGACGGATCCCTGAATAAGAGGAAGCCAAGCCAGCGGCGGCAGGCAGGACACCCTACAGCACAGGAAGCAGGCAGGCTGTGCTCGCGGGCCTCGTTGCCTCCTGACCGCTGGCTGGCCTCGAAGCTGAAGACAGCATGCACACACCTGTGTGTGTGAGGTCACTGCGTGGAGACAGTCGGGACTGGCAGGACTGTTAAAACCACATACAACACAACACAGGGACATGGTCAGTGAGCGGGGGAAGGGGCTCAAACTGCTGTTCTTGCTCCCTCTGGGATGGAGACAAGATGATTCTGAGGGTCACCACATAAAGAAGGAAAGGATCAGGAAACAGGATGCTTCAGGAAGAGGTGCAAAAGCTGCAGTACTTCCCTCACACCTCTTAACTGTTGTCAACAACTGGGAAATACGGTTAGAAAAATTACTATGGGAAGCAAGTGGGGAAAGAAGGCGAGACATCATGAGGGTCATTCCCACTCAGCCAGGTCACTGGGGGTCTCAAGAAGACAAACCACACACATTCCAGAGGGACGAGAAACTGGATCCCTAAAGTTTAGGACACACCTGGAAAATAACAGCAAAGAGACTTCACCCATCCCCAACACACACACACACACACACACACACACACACACACACACACACACACACACACACACACGGCATTATGCCAAATGCAACCTTTCCTGCTCTTCACTGATTTCCCAGCACGAATTTATAAATTAAGACATACAAAAAAAAAAAAAGCCCACAACCAAACCACAGTTAGAAACCATTTCCAAACTCCGCACCCCCCAGTTCTGAGCGAGTGGGACCACGGGGGCAGAGGTGCAGTACGGCTCAGGCTGTGTTGCAGAAGGCGCTTCCCCAAGTGCTTTGCCACAGTCAAACGCAGCGGTGGTCAAGGACGTGGACGCCGGACGTCGTGTCTCAAGGACGGGTTTCACGCTGGCAGGAAAGAGGCGCCGCCGTTGTGACTGCCACTTCTGAGACCCCAGACTGCATCAGACTAGCTCTGTGGGGTGAGGGTGGGGGAGTGAAACATAAGTAACACACCATTTCTCAGGAAAGAGAAGGGGAGAAAACCTAAAGGCCGGATGGTTTGCCGCCCTCCGCCTCGCCCCGGTGGCTTGGCTCTGCCTCCCTCCAGAAAGGCCAAAGGATGTTATCCTCCTCCATGATAGGCTCTGAAACTCAACCGTCCCCAGTGTCCCTTGGGCCAAAGAGGGGTCATTGGCATTTTCATTTAATCCCAAGAAAAATTTCCAGAAGACATAACTGCTTCAAGCCCTGCATTGTCGGCCTCTACACAGAATTCCAGCAGTGTTCACTCCTCTGTCACAGGGGCCATTAAAACCATTTCCAGGGCCCGGCGCGGTGGCGCAAGTGGTTAAAGGTCCTCCCCTTGCACGCCCAGGATCCCATATGGGCGCCGGTTCTAATCCCGGCAGCCCCGCTTCCCTTCCAGCTCCCTGCTAGTGGCCTGGGAAAGCAGTCGAGGACGGCCCAAAGCTTTGGGAACCTGCACCCGCGTGGGAGACCCAGAAGAGGCTCCTGGCTTCGGATCAGCATAGTATCGGCCCGTTGCGGCCACCTGGGGAGTGAATCATCGGATGGAAGACCTTCCTCTCTGTCTCTCCTCTCTGTATATCCGCCTTTCCAATGAAAAAATAATAAAAATAAATCTTTAAAAAAAAAACATTTCCAAAAGGTCCCCCTTAAGGGGACCATTTCTAGCTTAAAAAAAAAAAAAGCTTTTTCACCAAACAGCACCTGTTCAAGAAAGCGTCTGTGGTGGGCACCAGGGGACACGCACAGCCACTGTGCAGTGCCTGCGTTGGAGTCCCAGCTCTGCTGCCTCCCAGCCTCCTGCAAATACATGGCCCAAGTACATGGGAGACCAGAATTGAGCTCCAGCTTCCTGGCTCAGCCCTGGCCGGCTGAGTAAACTCGTGGGAGTAAACTCATGGCTGGGAGTTGCCACTCTTCCTGTGTGTCTCTTGCTCCACCTTACAAAGAATGTTTTAATTTAAAGAAAGCTCCCATGTGGCTGGTGTTCAACACACTAAACTTCCACCTTGCAGCACCAACATCCCATTTGGGTACCAATTCTAGTCCCGGCTGCTTCACTTCTGATCCAGCTCCCTACTATGGTCTAGGAAAGCAGTGGAGGATAGTTCAAGTTCTTGGGCTTCTGTACCTATGGGAAACATGGACGAAGCTTCTGGCTTTGGATCGACTCACCTCTGGGCCAATGAGGCACTCTGGAGAGTGGACCAGCAGATGGAAGTTCTCTCTCTGTGTAAACCTGCCTTTCAAATTAAATCACTTTTTTTTTTTTAAATAAAACTCACCTCCCTCTTGGTAAAGAACAAAGCTGTAGCAGCAGGTGCCCTAAACTCTCAGGAGGGACCAATTCTTTGAGTAGAGGCTCACCTGATAGGGAGAATCCACAAACTTGATCCTGGAGAGGAACCTTCGCAGCTCGCCCCGGCCAATTTTGGGCGTGGTCTCCTTTAGCTGGACCATTTGGCCCTCCATCAGCGCCCACCGTAGGCTAAGCTTGCTCACCGCGAGGGACGCTAGGTGTCCTTCAGAGTTGGGGCCGGTCATCCTGGTCACGTAGAAGGCATCTTTCCAGAGGTCGTTAATTCCAACTGGGGAAAGACGAAGCAGACCAGTCAGCAAGGACAGCTGGCTTCTACCAACAGGAGTGCTCCGGTTGAGGAGCCCAGCCAGCCACTCACTCGGTAATTCACACAAGAAATTTACTGGGCTGGGTATGGTGGCCTATGGTTAAAGTCCTCGCCTGGCATGCACTGGCATCCCTTATGGCCACTGGTTCGTGTCCCAGCTGCTCCACTTCCCATTTGGCTCCCTGCTGTTAGCCTGGGGAAGCAGCAGAGGATGGCCCAAAGCCTTGGGACCCTGTACCCATGTGGGAAACCTGGAAGAAGCTCCTGGCTCCTGGCTTCAGATCAGCTCAGCTCTGGCCATTGTGGCCACTTGGGGAATGAATCAGCAGATGGAAGATCTTCCTCTCTGTATCTCCTCCTCTCTGTAAATCTGATTTTCCAGTAAAAATAAAAATTTTTTTTAAAAGATTTATTTTATTTTTTTATTGGAAAGGCGGATATACAGAGAGGAGAGACAGAGAGGAAGATCTTCTGTCCGGTGATTCACTCCCCAAGTGAGCCGCAACAGTCGATGCTATGCGGATCCGAAGCCAGGAGCCTCCTCCGGGTCTCCCACGCAGGTGCAGGGTCCCAAAGCTTTGGGCCATCCTCAACTGCTTTCCTGGGCCACAGGCAGGGAACTGGATGGGAAGAGGGGCCGCCGGAATTAGAACCGGCGCCCATATGGGATCCCGGGCGTGCAAGGAGAGGACCTTAACCACTTGCGCCACCGCGCCGGGCCCAAAAATAAATTTTTTTAAAAAATTTATTGAGTACCCAACAATACTAGCCAGTGAACTAGGCAGGCAGTGAGTGTGAGGAGGAGCAGGAAGCCAGCACAGCAGCCTGGTTTTTGTTTGTTTGGGGCCTCTGCATCTTGCGTCTCTGAAGCTAGTTCCAAGAAAGCCTCAGGAAATGAGAGGATGCCCACGAGCAGTACTCCGTGGCCACAGAAGCTGCTTACCAACTCAGCTGCTTATTGTGCCTCATCTTTAAAAATAAAATTGTGGTAAAAATGGTTTCAAGAGTCTTCATTATCATTCTGCAGTAATATTCACTAATGTTATTGTATACTCATATTGAACAAACAAGAGCAGGTATCTGGCGTAGTGGTTAAGATGCCCATGTTCCCTATCAAAGTGTCTGGGTCCAACTCCCAGCTCCAGCCCCTGGCTCTGGCTTCCTGCTGGCTCGGATCCTGGGGAGCAGCAGGTCATGGCCCTAGGGACTGGGCTTCCACCTGGACCAAGCTCCTGGCTCCCAACTTCAATTCCACCAGGAGGACCGATATTGAGATATAAGGAGCAAAATGAGGCAGTGGAAGGGATCAATCAATCAATCTCTCCTCTTCCAAAAAAAGAAAAGAAAAACCAGCTCATTCAGATCCGTCACAGGTGTCTGTAAGCTGACACCTCGCCACATGCAGGCCCCTGCACATGCGGCTGATCCAACCCTCCATGGTGAAGAGCTGATTCCATGAACTTAGGGCTCTGGGAGGCAGAGACCAGCAGGAGACCCAAACCAGCTGGGAGCAGTGGCCGAGTATCCAGCACTCTGCTTCCTGAGTCGACAGCCACATGCTCTCTCCTTGCTCGGGCACCCAGACCCCCGCCTGCCCTGGGCCTCACCTTCCGAAGCAGTCACAGTGCCCGTGGTATTGGCCAGATCCAGGAGAATGGAAGGGAAGGTTGGATGCAGGAGGTAGAGGTGGTAAAGGTGGGACAGCTCGGCTCCCAGCATGGTCTCCTGGCAACGGGCAGCAGCAAAGGAAGAGCAAGGGTCACTGGACGTGCCCACACATCACCCACACAGGGCATCTTTCACAAAGGTAGAGGGCAGGATGGTGTTATCTCATTCCTCTTAGAGGTGAAACCAGACCCCAGCCATAATGATGTATCTGATGGGGCTGCATGTCAGCACAGTGTCTGGGATACAGGCATCCCATATGCTGCTCCATCAGTGACCCAGCTCCCTGTTAATGCACCTGACAAACTGGAAGATGGTCTCTGCTACCCACATGAAAACCAGATGGAATTCCAGATTTCTGGCCTATGTCTGTCCAGCCCTGGGCATAGTAGACATTTAGGAAGTGAATCAATCAACCAAACAACCTCTCATTGACTAAAATTCTGCCTTTCAAATATTTTTCCTTTTAAAAAATACTTATTTGTGGGTTCAGCACAGAGGCTCAACAGGCTAATCCTCTGCCTACCAAGTGCCAGTAATCTATATTCCACTTTTGACCAGCTCCTTGCTTATGGTTCCAGCAGTGGGCCCCTGCACCCACATGGGAGATTTGGAAGAGGCTCCTGGGTGGTGGTTACAGTCCAGCTCAGTTCCAGCCACGGTGGGCATTTTGGAAGTGAACCAGTGAACAGATGATCTTCCTTTGTCTCTCCTCCTCTATAAATTCACCTTTCGAATAAAAATAAATTTAAAAAATGTTCTGTTTGAAACTCATGTGAAAGAGACATTTCAAAGCCAGTTCAGAGAACTCAAAACACTACAAACCACTAACTTCTCCAAACCACTATTTATGGCTAGAAACTGCTTATTCACCAGACCAAGGAAATGTGTACACTTCCAGAGGAATCTCATTAGAGTCATCCCCTCTTCCTACTGCCACCCGCTGCTGACAATCCAGCCTTCAGCCTGTGGGAATATCACAACACTAGGTCAACAGCAAGCAGTCAGCCAGGGCTGCTGCAGGCTCAGTGGCACAGTAGAGGTTAAGTGGTTGCCTACAATACCAGCATCCCATATAAACGCCAGTTGGAGTCCCAGCTGCTGCACTTCAGACCTAAGGCCTTGCTAATATTCATGGGAAAGCAGCAGGAAGATGTCTTAGTTGCTTCAGCTCCTGCCACCCAGATGGAATTCCAGGTTCCAGGCTTTGGCCTGATCCAGCAATGGCCACTGGGACTACGCGAGGAGTGAACCAGGGGGACAGAGACCTCTCTCTTCTCTGTAACTCTACCTTTCAAATCAATAACATAAATTTTAACAACAGCCACAACCAAAACCTAGTGAGCCAGAGATATTTCTTTCCAATGGACAAGAAAGCTAATTGCAAGCATTAGGCTCAAAATTACAAACATCAGTTCCTAAAATAAACACACAAAAGCAAATGAATTATAAAACAACCACCCCACCCCACCCCGGGGGTTGAACCTAAGTCCCCAATCCCTACAGCATAGACATGCACATGGGGACGATCTTTGTCAGTGCGATGTCCATGCACGGAGGGGACGGAGCAGGTGCACATGTGAGCAGCCACGTGGTCATTGGCGAATGCCCATGAACACCTTTGTGCAAGTGCATGTCAGTAAACGGTGCCCCACTAAGCACCTCCAAGCCAGCCTGGGCTTCCATCAGCTGGGGGAGTACAAGCCCTGGGGTGAGTGTCACCCCATGTCCACACACTCCATGCCAGAAGAGAAAGTTCTCAGCCCCGGGAGAAGAAATGGGGGCAGGCAGCTTGCCACCCCATGCCCACATGGAAGGCACAGTGTCTGAGGGACACCCTTAGGATCCCAGCCAGGATCTCTGGCTCAGCTAACATGGCCAGAAAACAGCTGGCTGCCTACCAGTTGAGGCCAAACTTCCCGAATATGAAAACCAAGGCCTTAGACCACCTTACCAAAGTCTGCCTTTTCTAGACCTCCACGGCTGTTACTTACCTACCCAGCCCTCGTGAGAAGGGTGTTTGATAATCTACATGAACACATGCCTCCCGGACTCTAACCGCTGTTGTTCTTATCATGTCCAACCATGCTCCCTACCCACAGATATTAACACTTCCCTTCATGTGGTCCTCCACTTAAATGTTGTCTCCCTCATGAAAATACCCCTAACTACGTTAGGCAAATTGAATCAGAAGAGGAGCAGCCAGACACACACTGACACTCACCTCTGGGATGCCAGTGTGAGCAAGTGGCAGCTTTCTCCACCCCACCACAGCCTGTAGAAGCCTTCCTAATTTCTCATCCTACTATAGCAGCGAGCGGTTAGGGGCCACTGTCAGGGAGCGATCTCCAAGCAGCGATGCAGAGGTGGGAAGCACAGGCATGGAGGAAGCGAGGTTCCTGCTTCTGCCACGTGTGTGCTGACCCACTCCACTCCGACCCTGGGAAGGTGACTGAGCCCCGGTCAGCCCTGTGGCCCAGGGACACTCACGGCATCAGGAGGCGCAGTGGGCAGTGCTTCCGCCCAGAAGAGGAAGACGGACTTGCGGTCTGCAGTCAGTGCGGATGTGGCTGGCATGTCCTTCACGTGGCATGGGGCACTGTAACTCCATACGATGGAGCTGGAGTTGCCATCCACCACCATCATCTGCAGAACAGAAGGTAAGCCGTGAACATGGCCAGGGGGTGCACAAAACAAAGAGCATACGCAAGAAAAATAAATTTTAAAAAGCACATGCACATGAACACAAGCACACACACACGCTTGCACACTAACAGGTGTGAACTGACAGTCTGGATCACAGTATAGAACATGGCCACACAGGGTGCTGCTTCTCCCATGTGCGGACTGAGTCCTGGCATTTTACCTTTTTCATCCCAACACCATCCTGCACCTGCAGAAGGAAGTCTAGGATCTGGTCATCGGTGAAATACCCAGGAGTAGGCTGGCTGTAGGCAACAAGGAAGCGATTGATGGTGAGCACGACAGCAGGGAAGGCAAGGACCTCCCCACCCCCATTCCCGCCCCTCCCTTGCACAAGGCACACTTATCAAGCAACCATCGTAGGTCACTATTCCCAACAACAGGCCTGGTGTGAAACCCCCTGCAAACCTGCGCAGGCCGGGCAGGCTCAGCGTCCAGTAGGGTGTCAGGCTTTGGCCCCGAAGCAGAACCAGGCCTTGTCTGGTGGTAATCAGGAGGTTGCTGCAGTTGGAGTCTGGCGCCTTCACCAACTGGAGGAGCTCCACGCCATCACTGCACCCAACAGATCCTAGAGGTTAGTTTGGCTCCCAGAAGATGCCTAAGGCCATCGATTCTGTCTTTTTCTCTCAGTGGACTCATGCTCGTCCATGCTCTGGTGTTCATGCACCTCACCCCCACCTTAGGGACCCTGGAAAACTCCGCCCAAGTTCAGTAGGAACTCCCAGGCAGAGAGTTACAGCGCAACAGCTCTCATGTGGGGGCAAACGTCAACAGGGCCAAGAATAGAGCAGAGGAGGCAGACAGACATCAGGACAGACGAGGGAAATTATCAGCAAGCTTGGACAATGGCCCGAGGCCCACCCAGCGGGTGACAGCCTTCAATGCATTATTTCTTTGTACCACTGAGACCATTTTACTTAGCAGATGTCCTATTCACCAAGATAACATTACACTGCCAAAGGAGATGGTGAAAAAATTATAAACAACTTCTGGTGGAAAAGAACAAAATAATTTTGACCAATGCATGGAGTTAAATGGGTAAAAATCTACCACCTAACACAAATATAGGTTTTAAAAAATAAATAACATTAAAAAGTAAGATTTCATGCCTGCTATGCTTGCTTATATCATAATAACTCTTCAACCAAGAGGAAAATACACAGCAAAAGTAGGTCAGTACTTTAGTACTGTAGAAAAAAACAAATTTATCACCCTACCTGAAGAGCCTGCAGCCCCTTCCTCTTGCTCCTCTGTGATTCGAAACCCTCAACAAACATCCTACCTCTAAGTTCCTCCCAGTCCCCAACACACTCTCAGAAACACCAACACTCTATCAAGAGAAGGCAATGTCTCTGGGACAGGTACACTGTGGGAGCTGCAATGCCACTTGGAACACTTGCAATGCATATCAGAGCACTCAGGTTGATTCCCAGCTCTGCTCCCGACTGCAGCTTGCTGCTAGGATTTAACCTGGAAGCAGCGGGTGACAGCTCAAGTACTTGGGTTCCTGGCACCCATCGCGGAAGACCTGGAGTGAGCTGCAGGTTCCTGGCTTTGGTATGACCCAAGCCCAACTCTCACAGGCATTTGAGAAGCAACTTAGTGGATGAGAGAGCTTGCTCACTCACTCTTGCTTTCTCTCTCTCTTTCAAGTTCATAAGACATACATAGAAATTAAAACAAAAAAGGCTTTTCATGCACGCTAACCAGATCAGAAGACGGATACACTGGCAGTGTTTGTCCAATTCTTCACCGACATATTCACCAGCCCAACCAAACCTAGAGACTCCGCAGAGTGCAAGTTCAGGCACTAGGACCAATGCAGCATGCCTGCCCTACCTGTAGATATCGATGAGCTCAGACAGGTTGACAGATCTCCGCTTCTCCCACTCCGGCTCTTCTATCTGCAGGGAAGGTGGCGAGCTATCTCGATTCTGGGCCTGAACAAAAATGTCCCGCAGAGCCACAGCTTGTATATTTCCTAGCACCACAGGAAGAACCAACACTGAGACTTTGAATGCAGCAGAACAACCCCAGCATGAGATCTGACCAAGGGACATCGAGACTGGCCTGAGGGCCTCATAGAATCTGCCCAGGCTGGCCCAGGGCAGGGTGTCAGCAGGGTGCTGGCCGAGTGCCATGAGAAAGTGGGACAGTTATCAGACCAACACTGGACAGTCTTCTCCGTAGAGAAAGCAGCAAGGGAGAGCAGAAGCCGTAACTGGCAGTGGGGAGGGACAGCGGGAGCGGCCTCTGCAGCAGGTAGCAACAAAAGGGGTGGTACTGTCTGTCTCCCCAGGGAGGCCCAATTGCACCCATCAGCGCAGAATCAGAGCGAACATCACTCCTGCTTCTTACCAAAGCCAAACAGGATGTAGACAGCTCCACTGGCGGTGACGTAAACCTGAGGACCAATCAGATTCCCCACGCCCACGATGTTGTACTTGACTGGTCGGCCCAGTAGGCTCCCCATCCGGCCAGACACCAGCAGGAAGCACAGATCTGGCTAGGGAAGACAGGGCAGGAAGGGATCCAGTGAGAAGAAGCCCTGGGATTTCTTAAGCAAACAGTTTCTTGAGACAGTCAGCTTCATCTCCTTAGCTGTTCAGAAATACCTCCCAAGGCTGGGCAGCGTTGAACTTGCTGCACTTGGCTTTCCCGAGACTCAGAAGCGAAAGCCAAGACCCCTGCCCTTCCCAGGTGCAGGCAGAGGTCCTTGGGACTGCAGCCCAGACCTCCCAGGAGTCTGGCTAGTGCTCGGGCAGCACCTCGCCGAGATGTGAGCTGCATTCAGATACCGGATCCCCAACGGCTCACCCCTCACACCCAGACATCCCAGCAGGAATCAACCCTACACAGCTCTCTCATTCAAACAGGAGAAGCCTGGCCAGGCCATTGTCATCTTCACTGGCCGAGCAGAGATCAGGAGACTCCGTGAGCTGCCAGACAGTGAGCCGCTGTCTCTGACAGCCAGTTCGTCCTGCTGTTCTAGGGCAGAAGCAGTCACACTCAATAAACAAACGGCCATGACGGTGTCCCAGCAAAACTTTATTTACAAGAACAAGCAAGGGCCCAACTACAGCCTGCACGCCGTAGTTTCCCACATCCAACTCTGGAGGATTTTTCTGGGAGGGACAGGATCACCAATGGGGATATACGCAGGATGTTTTCTTTATCTGCAGTAAAGCTTTTGACAAAGTTTATTATTCTATGAATGCGTGTAGACAAGACAGAGAAGTGTGGTTTGCAGAATAAACACACACCTTACAGGAAGATTTTTAAGGAAATACCATAGCATGCTGTTACAACCTTTCTTGTCAAAGACTTGAGTGAATAGAATTCTAGTTTGTCACAATGCTGAGGGATAGCCAACACAGGGTTTAAAAAAAAAAATCAAAAATCAGAAAGTCCTTAGACTGTAAGATGATCAAATCTGTAAGAAGAAACTCATTTAAATAACTAAAAATTGATTTACACTGAATTATTTAAAAGGTGGAGCTGCTTTCAGGGCAGTTGTTGTGGCACAAAGGGTTAAGCTGCCACTTGCAGAGTCAGGATCCTGTATTAGAGCACCAGGTGGAATCTCCATTGCTCCACTTCCCATCCAGTTCCTTGTCAGTACTCCAGTCACCCATGTGGGGGACCCGGATGGAGTTCCTGGATCTACAGGCCCAGTCCTGACCATTAGGGTTATCTGGGGAGTGAACCAGTAGAAACAAGATCTCTCTCTCTCCCTCTCTCTCCTTTCTCTGTCACTGTCTTTCAAATAAATACCTTTTTAAAAAAATCCGTGGGCTCTTTAATCATAAAACATGATTATTACAAAAGACTACTGCAATCTTGGGCTGTAAACACAGAATGCAAGGAGTCTTCAAAAAGCTCATGGAAGAGTGAATTCCATTTACCTGTGACCTTTCCAAAGTACCCTCACATAGAACCCACAGCAAAGGACGCCTTGAGCGGATGCCTGGCACAGCAGCCAAGCTGCCACCTGAGACACCTGTATCACAGATGGGAGGGTCTGGGTTCAAGTCCTGCCTCTATTCCTGATCCCAGCTTCTTGCTATGCATACTTCTAGAGGCTCAATCAGCTGGGGCCCGGCCATCACGGGAGTCCTGGATTGAGTTCCTGGCTCCCAGGCATTTAAGCAGCAAACCTGTTAAGGACATGTCCTTCGCTCTCTCTAAATAACATAAAATAAAACTTCCAAAGGTAATGATTTCCTTAGGTTGATATAACTGGTTGTACCACAAACAAAACACTGTTTTCAGCCGTGGAAATCAGGGCTGTTTGGCCTTGCGAACAGCAAGCTGGGAGAGAGCAGGTCGGGACGCAAGGGCTTTCATGGAGAAAGGGGATTAGCTTCATTGAGAGCAGCTCCATGGGACAGCCACTGGCACAATGAACAAAACCTCTGAGAAGGCACATTTCTCATCAGTGGGACAGGGTTTTCCAGAGCCAGTCCCCAGCGAAGCGGCCTGCCCGTCCGAGTGATGCTCCCATCAGCCCAGGCACACGAGGAGAGAAGGGAGCCAGTGAGCAGGGAAGGCCGAGTAAGTGACTGCACTGCAGTAGAACAGGGTGACCTCCCGGATTCCGCGGTGCCTTCCCACTCACACACAGGACCACACCAGTCTTCCTCACCCCAAACCAGGTCCAGCTCTCCCCTGCCCGACTCTATGCAACAGGTATGGTCACACACCCACTGGGTTTCCTTCCCTGGGAGGAGATGGCCTTATCCCGCTACAGCTTAGCAGTTTCCTCTGCTTCTTGGTTCTTGGCATAGAGGTGAAAATCAAGATGAAGCTACTGCTTGAATACCACTGCTCTGCCAACATTTTGCTAGAACTGCCCATTACCTTGTGAGCACAGGAGGGACTACTCCACATTTGTACACTATTGTACAAACGGGTACATTCTGGGAGGCAAATCAGTGACACACTGGTACAACAAGGAAATAAAAGAGGCACTATGTTGGAAAGAGCATTTCAGAGACCAATCCCTTTGGCAACAGCTCCCTCACTAATAATGTAGTGACCCTGAAGGCCCACCCTACCGTGTCATCGGCCACCACTGGCTAAAAAGCCAAAAGGAGTATTAGGGCCAAGATTTTCAGATGTGTTCTGCACATACAAGCTATTCAATGCCTGCTATGCCTGTGCTGATCATGATTCCACGAACAGAAAATCCTCCTCCTTCTCCCTCAAATTATCCCCTTGGGAACCTTAAGAAAATCAGTCCCCACTGGGAAGAATCATTGTAATTTGTCCAGAACTCCAACATCTGGAGTCACAGTGTTGGGATAAAAAGATCGCACAGGCTGTTCCTGAATTCTTGGCTTGGGTCCATTTGGAGACCAACTTGCTAGCTCAAGGACTTCAGAGAGTCAGCACATTATCTTCCCTCCCCCCCGTGTCACAAGCGGAAGGCATCATCTGGCATTCTCAGGTGACACTCCATCAAAACCTTACGACAGGCAGTATGTGGTACTCTGGGATGAAAGCCACAAAACATGGAGAGCTTTAGTTTTATTCTAAATAACTGTCCTCACTAATTTTATTTTGAAGATTTGTTTATTTATTTGAAAATTAGAGTAACAGAGAATGAGTGGGGAGTGGAGACAGGGAGAGATCTTTCATCTGCTGGTTTACTACTCAAATGGCAGCAACAGTCAGGTCTGGGTTAAGCTGGAGCCAGGAGCTCCATCACGTCTTACAGGGACCCAAACAGGTGGGCCATCACCTACTGCTTTCCCATTTGCATCAGAAGGAAGCTGGATCAGAAGCAGAGCAGCCAGGGCATGCACCAGCACTTCAACACGGACGCTGGAGTCTCAAGCAGCAGCTTAACCTGCTGCGCCACAACACCAATCCCCACTTGTAGAATTTGTCACTCTACTCCATACGGTAAGTATAAGTGAACCATGACAGTGAACACAAGGTCTGCTAAAATTAAATTATCAAATGAGGCAAAATTACCTGCATTTTCCACAAAGAGAATTTTCCATGGCTTTAAGGCCACAAAGCTTATGAGGTGGCAAAAGAGGATTTAAACACAGACAGATATGGCTCCAAAGTTCCAACACCCGATAGTTCCCAGAACCACAACGAGAATGCGGGGAAGGACGGTTCTGTGACAGTCATGTAGTCATTCATCTCGCACAAAGGAAACCTATTTAAACCTCAGCTGTTGCAAAAACAAAGTTTCAAGAGGACGCAGAACACAAGGAACAGAAATGACTAAAACGGAAGCATTCCCTGCAAAAAATAAAAGCCACGTCAGAGCCTACCTGCATGTCCCCAATGGCCAGGACCACGAGATCTCTAACGCCGTCCTCATCCAAGTCCGGCAGCACCACAGCCGGGGCGGCCAAGGTGCCGTTCAACAAGGAGCTGGGGTTTAAAGTCCAAATGACCTTCCCTGGAGGAGGACAGATATGCTGGTCACCGTTACTGCTTCCTGCCTCTGGGAAAGCCAGGCCAACGCTCGCAGGCCAGCACAGAGAGGCTCAAAGGGCTGCCCACCACAACCCCCAGCAGGACCCACTTCCTCTGCCAGCAGTTCTCAGCTCACTGAGGACTGTCATCTGTAATCCTCAAGTATCCAGCCGACAGCTCCCTGGAAGAACCTCCCATCTGGATTTGTTACACAAAAGGGAGGTGCTCAAGTGTCCCCAAGAAAGGGGACCACCTGTCTGGGGAGAAGGAACTGACCTGCTGGAGGTTGTTTTTTGTTTTTTCGGTTTTTTTTTTAATTTATTTTATTATTTTCTTTTATTACAAATTCAGATTCAGATATACAGAGAGGAGACAGAGAGGAAGTGGAGTTGCCGGGATTAGAATCGGCAACAATATGGGATCCGGCACATTCAAGGCGAGGACCTTAGCCACTAGGCCACGCCACTGGGCACCCTGTTGGAGATTTTTACAAACCATCCACTGATAGGCACCAGAGAAACACAGAAGGTTTTCAAGGTGACCTCAGTCCTACAGTGAGCCAAATTCTCACCATTTTCCCCCACTCCAAAGCTTCCCATCACCAATTTCCAACCGCTAAAACTGAGAATGTTCTAATTTAGGCAGCTTTAGAGTGGCTGCACCTAGGTGTTAACAAGTGTATTGTACTATGGTTAGGACAGTGTAAGGAGGCTTCATTTCCTTTGTTATATTAAAGGGTACTTCTAAGCTTAGGAGAAAATGGAATTAAAAGAAGAGTTGGGGCAGACGTGTGGCACAGTGGCTAAGATGCCACTTGGGGTGCCCACACTCTATACTGGAATGCCTCATTTAAGCCCTGGTTCCACTTTCAACTACAGCCTCCTGCTAATGCACACTGAGGGGCAGCACGGGATGCTCAGGCAGTGGCACTGCCGACCCCCGCGTGGGAAGATCCAGACAGGGTTCTGGGTTCCAGCCTTCAGCCTTGACAGCCCCGGCTACGGTAAGAAACTGAGAAATGAACCAATAGACAGAATATCAATCTCTCTCTGCCCCTTAAATGACATAATTTTAAAGTTTATTTTGCTGCAAAGAAAAAAAAAAAGACGATGACGAAGGAAAAAGCATGCATGCAAAGGAAGTCCATGCATGGTTTTTTTCATAATACTTTTTTCCTTTTTAATTTTTTGCACTAAGGTAAACTTGCCTCTTCATTCCATTTCCCCACAAACTTTCTGAAGTGCCCTTGCTTGTAACATGTAAGTGCAACCAGATGCTAAAATGCCAACTCCACAGGCCTCTGTGTACATTTTGGTTTCTTCACTGAGGGATCTGTAAGGAGCTGATGCCCCAGCTTGTGTGTGAATCCCATGCTGTCAGACACAAAGCGAAAAAGCTCTGTTTTCTTTGGCAAAAAGAACAGAGAGACTATTCATAAACCAAGAGTCTCAGGGCACTCTCCGTTTGGGACAGCACAGGGTACACAGGTTGAACCATGACTCTCTCTACTCCATCTTGCCAAGCTTTTCTCTGATTCCCTTAATAGCTACCCTCCCGAGCACTAAATCAGATCCGCCACCACGTACGGGCAGAAATGTGTCCTCCCCATGGAACTGCTCGTTTCCAGCATCAGGCCGTGGGACATGTGTGGCCCATGCTCCTCACCTGAGGTGGCGTTGAATGCATTCAGCATCTTGTGCGTCCCTGTCACAAGGCAGGTGGTAGCCGCTAGGCTTCCCGGCATCAGGTCCAGACAATTGATCTCTCGCACCTCCTCTGGGAGGGGACTGGACCACAGCACGCTGCCATTCATGCCCGAAAGGCACACCAGATTAGCAGCTGGCCCTGAGGCATCTGTGGGTACACGAGAGAGGAAAGAAGTGAATGGAGGCAGAGACAAGAGGGGAGGCTGAGAGGAGCAGGAGGAGAGAAAGCCAGGAGCGAATCGCAGAGACCTAGCCCCTTAACCTGAGCAGCCAGCATCCTCCTGCAACACTTTTGCTCAGCACACTCATGGCAGACAAGCCACGGAGGCCTCCTGGGAGCTGCCTCATCCCCATCTCCATCTGGCATCTCTCCCCAGCCCTCCTCCACCACTGCTGCCAACTTCCTCACAGTGAGTATCTCCTTTACTTCTGTACCCTCAGCACCCTGCCAAGTGCCTAGCTCAGACAGCAGCCAATCACTTATGGAATAAAAGCAAGGAGCAAAATCACGAATATGGTAAAGCCGTCTTGGGACACAGATAACCAAGAGGACAATGTGTGCCCAGAAACACGAGACTGATCCAGGACACGTGCAGGGCAGGGAGCCAAACACCTTTGTTCTAATCACCACCACAGCTGCTTCCTTGTGTGCAGAACAGCTGTGCCTGAACAAACATCACCCACAACAATCATCCAAAGGTGATGGTGCTGCACTGGACTGGCCTCAGTTAGGAAAGACACTTGCAGAAATGGAAAACGCAGGGCCCAGGACGCATGTAAGGCAGGAGTGTCGCTCACCTCTAGCAAATAAGCCTCCATAAAGTTATCAGAGCAGTAACTGCTCCTCCTGCCAGTTTCACTTTTAGGACACAGATTCCTCAAAACGTCTCACACACCTTCCACCCAGGGCAACATCTGACAGCAGTAAGCAAGCATTGCTTCAAAGCTTCATTCTACCTCTTCCTGGTATCGCTAACAACATCAGAAACCCAAGAACAAGGGACACACTGTGGCTCCCCGGTCAGACCCTGCAGGCAGAAGCAGAGACATGACAAACAAGGGCCACAAGTGTGAACTTTCAAGCTTTGCAAGGATGCTAAGACAAGACCTGTGGCCACTCTTCCTCCTCCAGGGACCTGCTGACCCCAGATCAGCTCCTTTCTAGAGTGCTGATGGTGACCTCAGCTCTGTGCAACCATAGCTGGTAGAGGTGGATACCAGGTCCCACTTGTTTGGCACTCTCTGTAACACCAGTAGACCCTCAGAGCCAGCCACACCTCAGACATTTGACCAGTGAATGAATCAACGAACAAGTGAATGGCTTAAAAGCACTGTCCCTCTATGTGCAGCAGTACAAAGCTCGATGGGTTAAGGCACCATACTGTGAGCCTCCAGGACCTGAATCCCAGCTGGACCGTCTGCCAGCTGGGGGCCCTGGGGCAAGTTCACTACCATCCCTGTCTCAGCTTCCTTGTCCGCAGATGAGGATCCTTACATCACTCTACCTAGGGTAGTTCTCAGGGATAAGTTGACATTACATGCTTAGGCTTGCACATGACAAACAGAAAGCAACAAATGCCAGCTATGCTCTTATTTTCATAATTTATGGTACATCAGGTTGGCCATGTTGTGTCCACCTCATTTTAAGTTTCAATCCACAGTAAACCACTTAAAATTGACTACAGACATCTCTAAGTTCAAAAGTTCATGCAGAAATTAAAAAAAAAAAAATCACATGGGCTCAGTGTGGTGGCCTAGCCACTAAAGTCCTCGCCTTGATCACACTGGGATCCCACATGGGCACGGGTTTTAATCCCAGCGACCCTGCTTTCCATCCAGCTCCCTGCGTGTGGCCTGGGAAAGCAGTCAAGGACAGCCCAAAGCCTGAGATCCTGCACCTGTAAGATTTATTTATTTATACTGCAAAGTCAGATATATAGAGAGAGGAGGAGAGACAGAGAGGAAGATCTTCCGTCCGATGGTTCACTTGCCAAGTGATCACGACAGCTGGAGCCAAATCGATCCAAAGCCAGGAGCCAGGAGCCTCTTCCGGGTCTCCCATGTGGGTGCAAGGTCCCAAGGCTTTGGGCCATCCTCTACTGCTTTCCCAGACAACAAGTAGGGAGCTAGATGGGAAGCAGGGCTACTGGGATTAGAACTGGCACTCACATGGGATCCCGGCACGTGCAAGGTGAGGACTTTAGACATGAGGCTATTGCATTGGGCCCTAAGATAATTCCAAACTGCCCACAAATGGCATTATAAATATCCAAATAGCCCTTGGCAGAAACAAGATTCCCCATCCTGGCCTAAATGATTAAAAAGTAGTTACCTGCATCCTTAGCCTCCAGCTCGGATCAGCTTACAGAATGTGCCGCAGCTCTGCTTGGGTGTGGAAGCTGTGGGACAAACAGAACGCCCCTGTGTACTCACGGGGAAACGTAACCCTCTGTTTGCTTTTGCAGTACATGGTGTAGCACTGGAGTTCCCCAAACAGCACACTCCAGGCTCAGTGAGGAGACTCTGAGCAGGATGGAAAGGACACCGAAGTGACAGGATGTCCCTCAGAGCTGTTACTGCCCGCAAGCACACAGGGACACAGAGAGCAAACAATTCCTGCACTCCAGAAGGAGGTCCCGTAAGAAGATTGCCAGTCTAAGTGGTCATGGATGGTGTCACCTACAGGGACCTCGGAAGGATTCCTCCTGCCAACTTGCCCACAGGCCAAGTTCAGGTGCAAGCCACAATCAAAGCCACTGGTTACTCTCAACCTCCCTGAGCACAGAGCAAAGTTGGAGAGTGAATGGAGCAGGGAAAGGAGAATACCCAACCACGATGTACGTGTGCAGAGCTGTGGGATCCAGGAACAGGTGTTTCCTGCCGGGGGGTGGGATGGAAGCACAGAGGTAACATGCGATGGAAACAGTATGAGAGACCTCGAAAATCCCAAGTTCTCTGGCTGCTACTACGGAGTGTGGACAAGCCACTTCCTCTCAGGCTCTTCCTCCACTGGCCTGGGTGACCACCAACAGCTCCTCCGGGGTGGCTCCCTCGGATGTCTTGGCCTCCTCTAAACCAGCAGGGCTCTCCTGGGTGACATTACTCCCAGCAGATCCTCTTCTGCAGCATTTCTAGAGACAAGTCTGATACTCTGTCCTAGCGCCTGGCCACCTGTAGCAGCCTCAAGAAGACACAGCCCAGAGCCGGTTAAAGGCTCTGTCTGCAACGCCGGCATCATCGGTGTGGGATGCCAGTTCAGGTGCTGGCTGCTCCACTTCCGATCCAGCTCCCTGCTAATGGCCTGGGAAAAGCAGCAGCAGATGAACCAAATGTTTGGACCCTTGCCATTCCCATGGAAAATCTGGATGAAGCTCTCAGCCCTGGCCATTGTGACCAGCTGAGGAGTAAACCAACGCATGGAAGATCTCTCTCTTTCTCCCTCTATCTCTGTAAACTGCTTTTCAAATAAATAAATCTTAACAACAACAACAATAAAAGACAAGTCTGAGGTAGGCAGTGCCTGGGCTCCCACACTGGAGGCTGGCTGAAGTCCCGACTATTCTGTTCCTAATCCAGCTCCCCTTCCACCCCCCTTGGGAAGCAGAAGATGGTTCAAGTACTCGAGCCCCTGTTCCCCGCACAGGAAAAGCAGCAGGTGTTCTTGGCTCCTGCCATGGGCCCAGGCTGGCCCCAGTTATTGCAGAAATCTGAGTGAAGCACTGGATGATACATAGCTCTCTGTGACTCTGCCTTTAAAACAGGTATCTTAAGAACAAAAGAAAACGCTTCTCTTACCCACTGCACTCCCATTGCTTGCTGTCACAAAGGAGAGAAGAACGTCACGCAGGCCGTCTCCATTCACGTCAGCCAGTTCCAAGGGAGACAGATCCCCACCTGATACACAGAAAAAGAGTAAGGTCCTCATCCAGTTACGGCCATCCAGTTCTCTGCTGCCAGGTTAGAAAACCGACAGAGGATGATACAACGCTGCTGGCAACTGCAGAGACGCGGGCCAGCTTCCTGGTCCTCCCCAAGAACGCTTGCTTCTCCCTGTTCCTCCTGCTGTTTGAGTATACCATAAAACCCTGGGCAACCGACAGAGAGCAAACAGGAAAGGTGGAGAGGAGGAGGCAGACTGGCTAGGGACTGCGAGACCCACGGCACGACAAGGCAATGCGCACCCTGGGTTTGTGTGTTCTTCCCAACCGTATCCCCCTGCACTCAGCAGAGGGTTCTGCTCTCCCGAACTTGGTACCGGCTATGCCTTTACTTTGTTTTAGAGCTTTGCCATACCAATATCAGTGCGAGCAGGTTTTTTTAGATTTTTAAAAATCTTGCTCCTATGGTACTTCCTAAAAAAACCTGCTCGCACAATGTCATGAGTCTGGGATGTACAAGGCCAAAAGCAAACCCAGCGTGCTCAGTACCTTGTCGTGCCGTGGGTCTCCAGTCCCTAGCCAGTCTGCCTCCTTCTTTCCACCTCTCTTGTTTGTTCTCAAGAATGTTCTAGAGCTTAGGCTGGGCAGTGGGTACACTCACAAAAGGTCACGAACCTTGACCCTGCAGGTAAATATTCCATGTGTAGATTATATTGGCCTTAGGAAAAATGGAAAATGAGAACACAGAACTTGTCAAAGTGAACTCAACTGTGATCAGAGAAAAGTAAGACCATGCAAGGGGCCTGGGAACCACCCAGTTAGGCTGACAAGTGACAGGCTCAGCACTGCCAAACAATCCCCAGGGAATGAAGCCTGCTCCCAAGGGAGACAAAATCCCAGGAACTTGTTAGGAGCAAGACAGAAAACTCCCTTTTTACATGAGATAATGTTCAAGTCTGAATGAGGTCAGGCTGTTTAAATGAGCAGGTGCCTGGGGTGGTCAGGCTGGCCTTGGGCCTGACTCCTCTGTCAACAGCTCTCCTGCAGCCGCACAGTCTGGGAGCCAGCAGCACTGTGCCCTCATGCAATCCAATGAAGACCACAACACCAAAGAGTGATTGCCATGCGCCTAAGGGTACAGACATCCACCTAGTGGTTTCATTTTCAGTTCTCACTTCCACACCACTTCTCTCCGCCCCCAGCCGCACACACACATTGAGCAGAATGCCAAAGGGGCCCACCTGTTCCTGAGACAGATGGAACAGGGGCCGACAACCCTGCACCTCACCTGCCTGGGAGCCCAAGTGGCGGCTCCACGTGCTGTGCAGATCTCGGGGTGGACAGGGGATCAGGAAAGCACAGAGCAGTACCAGCAGCATGGAGAGCCCCAGCGCCAGCAGGAAGACAGAGGTGCGCACGTAGGCCACCAGCGGGGAGGTCGCCTTCTGCTCCAGGCTCCCGAGGGGCTCCGCGGGGTACCCCTCCGTGGTGACCTCTGAGTGGTGCGGCTTGGCAGTCCCTGCAGCCTCCACGTCCGAGTCAGGCTCGGGGGCTTCCCCCAGAGCGCTCTTGCCATTTTTGACCCCTCCGTTCTTCTGCTGCAGGTTCAGCACAAGGTCATCCTCGCTCTCGTCGCTGTCCGCCTGAGTGAGGGGATCGTACTCCCCCAGGTCTGGGCTCTTCTTCCCTGCAAGAGTAAGACAGGGAGTCAGGGAGACCCTGGAAGGTGTTTTCAACCAGACCTGTTTCCATAGAGACACTTGAGAAGCCAGAAATATTGGGCTGTGAGTCGCAGCACCTATACTAAATTTAGTTTTTAAAAGCAAAAATTATAAGAAAATAAATCTATTATTAGGAACTCAATGCAAAACAGGACTTCATCATAAGGTCATCAAGCTCAGGCTAGTTCCTACACTGCTGCTTTACAAGTCAAATGACTTTATCAATTAGGTCATGGCAATCCCTAATCATCCCAGATAACTCCATTTGTCATAACCAGCAAACATAGCCACAGACTACTGTAACTGTAATATAGTCAAAAGATGTTGCTTTAGTTATTTATTTTAAAGCTAAATATACCTGACATTGGCCCACAAAATGCAGTAACATATACCTACCATGGAATACTACTGAGCCTCCAAACAGAAGGGCATGCTGATACATGCTACAATCAGATAAGCCTTGAGCACATCATGACAGTCACCAACAGACAAAGAAGCCTCTTCCACTTACACAGTCACACTCCCAGACAGAACAGTTGACACAGAACTGTTCCAAGAACAGCCACACTCCCAGATGCAGAGAGCAGACGCTGGGTCCCAGGGTCTGGAGGCAGCAGGCATGGGGAGTCATGTTTTACGAGTGGAGCATTTCTGTTTCATCAGGTAAAAAAGTTTCTGCCTGTTGACTGCAAAGCAATGTGGACATAATCTGTGCACTTACAAATGAGAAAGAGCGTGCTCGAATGTGCAGATGATAGAAGTACCTACAAAGATCCATGCATGGAAGCTTGGTCCCAGGTCTGCCCAATGCCCTGATCACGCTCCTTTGGATGCATTAGGATTTCCCAGGGCTGTTTCAAGGGCAGTTCCCAATCCCAGGATGCGACTGGCCAGAGAACCGCAGGGAAGCACCCATCTGCCTGCTCTCAGAACACACACTGCCAAATCCCGGTAGTTCTCCCAGCAGCCTCAGCACAGCACCCATTCCACTTAAACTCCTGAGCATTCTTAACACACACTCCGACCGTTCCATAATTGTGCAACTGGAGGCTTGTTACCAAATGAGAAAGACAGCATCAACATCTACTTAACCTCAGGAATCAGCTTCCATGTTTGCAACAATCACACCAGCCTGAAACAGCACCTTTGCCGAAATGAAAGCATTATTAAGACATTGGCTAACAAAAGAAACCAATGTTTCTCACATGATAGTAATCAATGGTAGTTCATAAAAAAGAAGCAAACATGCCTCCATGTGCTACAAAACATAGAATCTTTCCAAAATACTTAACAATGCTTTTGAACATCTGGAGGTGGATCGGGGAGCTGCTGTTGAACTTGTCTTTATTAAGGATGGCAAAGGAAGACATTTCTGTCAGACTCTCAAAATAAAAATGGAGGGAGGGAGGAAACAGCTACATTGCCAAACCAAGATTTATGAACAGCTATGGCGAAATGCAACCACCCATGTATTACACTGAGGGAACGGGGTGGGAGACACCAAATGCAGCAGTTGAAATGGCAAATGCAGAGGCCGCAGCTCCAGCTGGAGGGCCTAGATCTGCGCCTGAATCTGTTCACAATTCTATCTTCTTTCTAAGACATGAACTGCACAGCCCGGGCAGGAGCAGTGAGCTTCAGCAGTGAGCAGAGTTCAAAGAATGGATGATGATGATGATGACAACAGTGGTGGCGATGAAGGCAGTTGGAAATGTATCTAATGCTACTATATCAAATACTGATCTAATCATTTACAGGTATTAGTTCATTTAATGCCAACAACAACCTTACATGGTAAGTATTATCCTCATTTTAACAAGAAATCTAAAATACACAGATGGAAATTGCCCAAGATCACAAGAACTAACTAGAAGAACAGCCAGGATTTAAACCCAGGCTTTTCACTGCAAAATCCACTTGTTCTCACCAGCAAGTTATACAACCACCCTCGTGTCCCAGAGGCCAAAGCAGTAATGTCCTCTCTGGAAAGACAGGACTGGAACCACAGACACACCAATAACCCCCCTCAACGCTCTGGAGTCACAGGGGAGGGAAGACTGAATGAGAAACATTGCAAGCTGATGTTGTGATCAGAAGGGAACTTGCAGGATGCCAGCTCTGGGAAGTATAGGCACAATCAGTTCTCAACAGGCTCTTAAAGAACAATAGCATAAGGAACCCACTGGAAACAGAAACGAGGCACAAATTCAAGGAAGATAAATTTAACATTATAAAACTACTAAGCAATGATAGGAGAACCACTGTGACAATGGGACAAGAACACACAGGCATCCTACGGCTGACACTGACCAAGGATGGACAAAGCCAGCCTGGAAAAGGGCCTAGCATCTCCAGACACCCAAATGAATGTGAATAACAGGCACCATAAACAAAAGCAAAGGCGGAATCAGCATTCTAACACAGTGACAAGCAGGTAGCCTCGGACTGGCCAGGACTGACACCTTTACAAAGCAAGAGCAGTGGGAAAGGATCTGAGTGACTCTAGATGAAATTCCTGTGTCCTTCCAGCCCTAACCCTCACCCCAGCCCCAGGTTCTGTCCCTTCTGAACTGGACCATCAACAGCTGGAAAACAACTCCCCCAATAAATAAAACTATTAACTAAGGAAGGAACCACCAGCATTAGTACTCACTCCAGAACATTCTTCAGAATTTTGCAAACATTGAAGAAAAAATCATAGTGACACAAAGCGAACAGAATCAGCCAGAGAACAAGTGCTGGACTAATGATACCACAAGATCCATCGGACCTCATTAAGTTCAAGAAATTAAACATGGCCTTCCCTGAAAAGGCCGATTCACAGAAAGATATCATCTTTCTAGGAAAGAAATATCAATTCTGCTGAAAAGGCAAAAAGTAAACAAACAGGGCTCAATGAAAACATGGGAGACAGTAACACAATGAGTTTAGGAAAACAACTGCGATTGGAACCAGCCAAAAAAAAAAAGGTACTGTGTTAAAAACAGAGACACAGAGGATAGCCTGTGAAAATCAAGCAAAAGGGAGGCAAAATGAAATCACACGATGGCTGGCCATCCTGAGCACTCGCCAGCCACTACCCCAGCCTTCTTCCTGTCTTTGCTGAGTAAATCCAGACTACTCTTCATGGTAGACCCATTAGCTCCTTGGTGGAGACTGGGAAACTCCAGTGAGCCATGGTTAAGCAGCAAATAAGCTCAAATCCTAGTAGTCTGGCTTCAAAGCCTACACTGGCTACCTGGGTGGCTCCCACAGAAAAGGTCAAGACTCCAAGAAAGATCAGAAAGTGATGGATACTGAGAAAAAAGGATACCAAGATAGGCATAAGGGAAGAAGAGCACAGAAAATGAAACCAAAAGAAATATTGAAAAGAGATGTTTTTAGAAATTTCTACCAAAAACTTCAGAGTAAAGGATACACAGAATCCCCAGACAACAGCACACAGAACTCAATAGAAACAGTGCCTGTTATAGGCACTGCACTTCAAGGGCACCAAGGGATCAAACAAGGGCCAAACAAAAGAGTCAAATTACTAAGAATGGAAATGAAAACAGGCCAAGTTTTCCCCAGAAATGGACAATGCCCAAAAATGGGCCCAATACCAAAAAAGCCCTCAGAGAAAGCAAGCGTGGCTATAAGTTCCAGAACTCAGAATCGACCACTCTGTCTTTGAAGCATGAAGGCTAACACTCAAGAACTCTCCTGCATCTTTGGCTGATTTAGGGCCAGACTTTTTAAGAAGGTAAAATATTTATCTTGACGCTAATATATTATATGTCATTCAGATCATACAGACACAAGCCTAAGCTTAATTATTACAGACTGCCAGGCCTTGGGTGGGTTTTTTCCACCAATTTTATTGATTATTTCAGAGCCAGAGACAAAGCGAGGTTAACGAGAGGTTCATTTTCCACACACTGGTTCATTCTCCAAATGCCTGCAACAGCAAGGGCTGGGCCGGGATGGAGCCAGAAACTGGGCACACACTCCAGCTCTCCCATATTGGTGACAGGGACCCAATTATAGTGGCAGGAAGCTAAAATCAGGAACTAAAGTCAGAGACAGGAATCAAACCTGGACACTGTGCTGTAGGTTGTGGGTGTCTTAACTAGGCCAAACACGTGCCCCAAGACTGTGTGAGCAGGCTCTCTGACTTGCTCCGGCCCTACCCAGGTTGTGGAGCTGGATACGAAAGCCACAGGCACTTAGCATTTATTCTCTTTGCTGCTCTCAGCTAGGTATGTCCTGAGTACAAAGTTTTCAAAGCATAAGGCAGGTTCTGAGCCCATATTACGTCAACATAAATGAGCTTCCCACCACCACTGGTTTTCCTCTTAGAAGACTGGGCACGTTGGGTCACAGTATTTACAAAGTCATGCAAAGGCAGACATACATGAGAAAGCAATGTGACTAGACCACCCCCCAAATGTTTTTGGGAAACTCCTTCAAAGTATCCCATTCTGCAACATACGCTACCCTACAGCACTATGCTGCACACTTACTATGCCATATACCTCAGTGCAACTCAAGGTAAACAATTCATATCACGACCCAGTTTACCTAATGGCACATAATTGCTCTAAGTTACACATAATAAAACAAACCTTAACAATAATATTATGATATGAAATTCCCTTCAGTGTTTGACCTTCAAACTTTTAAAATGGGATGTCTGGCCCACAGGCTTTAGGCATGCACCTGTTACTAATTAACCTCACCTGATGTCCATGAGCCAGCCGGCAGTCCACCAGGAGCCTGGTGAACCCCAAGCCAAGTGACTCTCGAGCTTGGAGAGCTGCTGGGGAGCTTGGTGAACCCCAAGCTCGTGAACCCTGAGCTGGGGAGTTTTGTGAACCTCGAGCTTGGGGAGCAACTGGGAAATTGATAAAACTCATTGTAGAAACTGCTCTTTCCTCGGGAGGTTGCCCTCTTCAGATTGCTCCAGCAGCTGACCTTCCTCCAGGCATCAAGCTCATCAATGACCCTGGGACTGACAGAGATAATAGTAACAGCTAACCTTTACTGAGTCATTAACCTGGTCAAAGGTTAACAAGCCTGTCAGTTACAACCAACCCTTTCACTTTTCCAAATCACCCTTTCAGGTAAAGGGTCCTATAGCTTGGGGCAGACACTGATGGCTCCATCCTGGCACTAGCATTGTAGCTGAGGAAACGAGCTTCCTGGGACAAGGCAGCCAGGTGGCTGAAAGCAGAGCCCAGCTGTGGCTCCTAGCTGCCTTTCTGTTCTGTTTTTCCTCATGGGTGCGTGCTCTCGCTTGCTCTCTCTCACACACACAAATGGGCTGGTAATCAAACTAATATGACCAGGCAGCCCAAATAGAAGTCTTACAGCCCCAATTACAGGGTATCTGGAAATAATAAGAAGAAAGCAACTTCTATCCAATATCAAAGCTAAAAATTTGTATTTTGAGTGGGAGGAAGTGGTGCAGGAGGAAAACAAGCAAAACTGCAATTAAAAAAAAAAAATCACTTCACATGAAGAGTATAGGTAAGGCAACAGTATCAGACACACCTTGCTGAAGGGCCAGGCTGCCTGCCAAACAGATCCGAGGACAAGGCTGCCAGAAGCCCTTCACCCAGCCCATCAGCTACCAACAGCAATAACGCCACAGCGCAAGAATGTCTAAAGCAAGACTGTCTTGTACTCTTAGCCCCGGAGAATATCAACTGCCTGTGCTGAAAAGAAAATGTAACCACTGAAGCAAAGCTAAACATTCCATACTGCATCGCCCAAGGCTACTCTCTTCAAAGCAGATTCACTCTGCAGGTTCAGGGACTGCTCCTCTTTCCTTTCACCACTACGCACACATTCCAGGACAGAGAGCATCAGAGTCCCTTCTGTCCTTGTGAGCCCTTGTTTTCTTTCTTTTTTTTTTTTTTTTTTAAATCTGTCCCTGTCACCAATTCTGGCAACAGCAGCACTATCTGAGGCGCCAAGCCTGTTTCAGGGCCGCAGACTGCCAGCCCCCCAAAGCACCTACACTGTGAAACACCCTTGTAACCCCGATATCCGTGGAGGCAGGGGAAGCCACTGCTTCTCCCTCTAACGCCTTCAGCCATCTGCAAATACCTGTTTATCTCTAATGGCTAACACCTAGTTAGGCAGAAATGCTGTGTTCACCATTCATGCCAGCAGAACCAATCTACTTCTAAGGAAATGCCAAGTTTCTAGCTGTCCCATTCTGAGGGTTTAAGATGGAAAAAAAGAAAAACTTGAAGTTGCTGCCCAAAGTCCTGAATCGGACTCTGCAAGTTGTTATCACCTAACGCTTCTTGAAGGAATATATTCCACACATTGACTGCAACTTTCAAGAGCCAAATCATCCCCTGGCTGGGCCTGGCTTGGGGGGGTATCAAAACCTTCAGAACTGGAGACACCCCTGAGTTCAAGGCCAGGCTTTTGAAGGCCTGCCTTCGTGCTCCTGGACAACCGAATTAACCCTTTCCCAATCTTGCCATTTTCCTCTCTTGTAAACCGGCAACGAACTGAGGTCCAACGAACTGAACTACCTAGCTCACGGCTGCGTCACCGCGGGCACCACAGGGGAAGGCTCGTCCACCGTCCCTCGCTGTCCAGTCGCCCCCTGCTCACGCCCAGGTCCTGAGCTGGGCGTAGGCGGCTGGAGTCCCCGCGGTACCTCGTCCCCGGAAGGATGCTTCCCTCCGCAGCCCTCCCCAGGACGGCTGACAGTCACGCCACAGCAGCGCCCGCCGGCCTCCGGTCACCTGCCCGGCGAGGTCCCGACCGCCCTTCCCCGGAAGCCCCCCCAGGCTCACCGAGCGCCGGCGCCCCTCCCGGCCCCTGCGGGCGCACGGACCCCAGCCCGCGGGGGCTGCACCCGCCTCGCCTCCGGGCTCCCGCAAACTGCGCCCACGGCTCGAATGGCCTCGTCCGTTCCCCACCACAGCCTCGCCTGTCTGTCTCCCCAAACCCGGCGAGGGCAGGGTGGTCGCGAGGCTGCGACTCCTCCTTACCCGGGAGCTTGAGCGCCCTGGACAGCACAGTCGCCATGGCGGAGGCCCCCGGTGCGCGTGCGCGCGCCCGCGTCCTGCCGGGAAGTGTAGTCCGCAGTGGGGCTGGGACCTGGAAAGGTGGGAGCCGCTGGGGGAGCTGAACCTGAGGGAGACGCGGCGGAGACGTCCCTGTGCACGCCCACGGTGCTCGGATGGATGCTGGCTCGCTCCGAGCCACACGTACGCAATCAGTTAAATGGCAGAAGCTGTAGCTACCCCAGGGGCTTAGCAGTAAGACTAGAACGAAACAGACATTGAAGAAGGCGTGGACTGTGAAAAACGCGTGGGTTTTGGGTATCGGACAGACTGGATTGGGTTGCTACCTACATCCCTTACTACCTGCGCCATCTTGGGCGAGGCGCTGGGTGCGTCTGAGGACAGTCTTGTCTACCTCACGAACTTGCTGAGAAAATGTATCAAGTGTTGACAGCTCACTGTGCAGAGTGCGTTTGGGTTTCCGAGGCACAGGCTTAAGTGCCCCGGAGATGCGGTCTGATTTCTTTCTCCCAGCCCTTCCCAAGTCTGCTCAGCCCCTCACTCTGAGGCTTCAAGCTTACAAAATCCAAGAAGCAAGACCCAAGAGGTCCGCCATTTAATGCAGCTGTGTAAAGGGTTCTACCGCTCAGGACCTGGGACTGTCCTAAGAGTTCAGGTAATCCCACCTGCCTTGAGCCACAGCAACTGTTACCACCTCTCTCACGGAAACAAATGGCACCGTAAGAGCACAGACTCTAAAACTGAGTTAAAGTCCTGATTCTGTCGCTTCCGAGCTGCTACACCTGTTGCTTATTCTCTCCCGACCTCCATTTCTTCCTCTGACGAATAGGAACGAAACGATTGCTGTACTATTGTTATGCATGGGAAGCACTGGCTCAGTGCCTGACACCTGCAGTTTTGTTAGCATCAGCGCTTCTTTTTATTAATAATATTATGGTTTCCATCATTTACACGCTGATTTGAACTCCACATTTAAAGACAAAGCAATGGCTTACTCATGTGCTGCTTCTTGAAACAATCCACCGTACCCCAGGCTTTTACCGTTTGCCACTTCTTTGGAAACATAATGAAACACCCCATCTCTCGCCTATGTAGGTCACGCAAGAGGCACAGCACTCCAAGTCACAATGAACCACTTGTTGCTTGTCTGATATCAGATGAGTTCATCAGAACGTACTCTGGAGATAGCAAGACTGGAGAAAAGAGCCTTTACTTGTGAACAGGATGTAGGAAGCGTCCTTTTCGGGGCAGAAGAACAAGAACCTGAGTTCCTAGCAGAAGATGCAGGTGGGCTGGAACAGCGAGGTGACAGAGGACAGGAGGAAGGGGGAAAAAGCTGTCCACTTTTCTCAGTGACAAAGTGTACTCCAGGAGAGTTCCTTCTTGTGTCATTCAAGCGAAATAAAACCATGCCATTTAAAGTTTCATTGCCTCAACATGCATTTCCCCCCAAGCGCCTATGTGTACGCTGTGTGTAGGGACACACACCCAACAGACAGGGCACCTCAAGCCCTCAGATTGCTACAGCTCCTCTCTCTGGCGTTCCAGCATTCCCCACAGTCACTCCAGCACTTGCCAAGGGATCTTCAGGAGGGGAAGCAGATCCCAGAGAGTCCCTCCCTCCGGTGTCCTTCCTCCACTTTGTTTTCTCATCTGGAAATCTCTCCCATCCTTCCACTCTGCGTTTTCATCTGAACATAGGAACTGGAAGTTGAAAACAGTATTTCTCAAATTTAACCTATGGACCTGCTTTTTCATCTTTTTACTTTTAATTTTTAGTTTGTGTTTAACACAGTCAATGTAATTTGTAGATGCAATTTTCTGAGAACAGTGACATTCCCTCCCCACCCCCCTTCCTTGCTGCAATATGGGATGGTAGTGACAGCTTAATCCTCTGTGCCGAACATGGACTCTAGCCAAGTCTGTGCTTTGTTGTCTGGGCTGTGGTACACGTCTTGGCCATGTCTACACAGGAACCTCAAAGCATTCATGGAAAAAATGTGTGTTATGGAAAAGAAAAACCCATGTGTGGTAATGTGGGACAGACATTGTGGCACAGTGTGTTCAGCTACCACTTGGGATGCCCAAATCCCATATAAGAGCATCAGTTTAAGTCCTAGTTATCACTTCTCCAATCCAACTTCCTACTTATGCCACCTGGGAGAATGCAAATGACGGTTCAACTGCTTGGGTGCCTACTAGCCACATGACTTAGATGGAGTTCCAAACTGCCATGGCTGACAGGTATTTGGAGAGTAAACCAATTCTGTGTGTGTGTGTGTGTGTGTGTGTGTGTGAGAGAGAGAGAGAGAGAGAGAGAGAGAGAGAGAGACTCTGTTTCAAGTGGGTGAAAACAGCAAAAATTAACATTTATAAAGGAAAATAGGAATCTACAGGTGGGTATTTGGCCTAATGTTATTTAGGATGCTTACACCCCACATCAGAATGCCTGGGTTCAATTCCCACCTCCCTCTCCTGACTCCAGCTTCCTGCTAATGCAAACTCTAACAGGTAATTTTTCAAGTGCTTCGTCCCTGCCACCCACATGGAAAACCACATGGGAATTCTGGCCTCTCAGTACTGATCTGGCCCAGCCCTAACTGTTGTGGACATTTAGGAAAATAAAACCGTAGATGGAATATTGAGTTCTCTCTCCCTGTCCCTCTCTCTCATTTTCCAGGAGAAGAAAATAAATAAGTAAATAAATAAATATTTTTTAAAATTAATGTATAGTTAACCCCATATTCAACCAACTATGCATATTTTTTAAAAGTTCCATCCATCCGTGCATGTACACACCTCTTTCATACCATTATTTAATATAACAATTACTTACACCACATTTACATGGTTTTGTTTTTATCAGTAATCTGGAAACAGAGTGTGTGGGGGGACTGTGCAAGTGAAATGCCAGTACTGATTGCACCACGTTGTGTAAGCACGCTCTGATTTGTACATCTGTGCAGAAGGTGGGCACAGCCCTGGAACTGGTCTCCCATGGATACTGAACTTCTCTTCTAATTAGAGGAAAGAATTCAAAACAACCATCAAATGAGTCAGGACCCTTCCTTCTCCCATAGGGAATGCCTGGGTGCTCCTCTAGTTATCAGGGAGCGTGTGATCCACCCCGCCTCCCAGCACCCTATCCCCAACTGACATCACCAGAGATCCGGGCAGAACCTCCCCAACTTCTGACCTAGGTGGCCTCTCTCAACAGTGAAGCAAAGGTGGCTGGGGAGGCTATGACAAAAGCCCCTGAAGTTTAAAGAGCACCTTTTTTTCTCACTACCTTAACCAGTACTGGGAGTTTTCCTCCCCAACCTGCTCATGTTCCACCGATAGAGAACCCACACCTGCTGCCTCGTATTACTTGTTGATGCCGCAGGTCAAGCTTGAAATCGCTAAGTGTCCTACCCTGATCAAGGGAAGACCCAAACCAGTTGTCTAATACTTGGCCTGGAGACCATGCCCACATCTGTGGTTCTAACCACTCTAGGAGACTTTACCACTTCCTCCAGGAACCAGTACCACTGTGGCCGCCACTTGTATGCCAGATACCACAGGCCTTTCTGCCTTCTTTTATAAATTGTCACGGCTCCCTGAGGTGTCTCACCAGTGCACTGCATCTAGGTCTGTCATACAGCCACCCTGAGGCATGGTGATGTTAATACACAGAGGTTACACGGTGTGATGGGAACTAAGGCTGGCCACCTCTCTCACACTGTATCAGAAAATTATCCGGGGCCATGCTGCTCACTCCTCAAGGGTGAAGGCAGTCTTTGCTGTTAGAGCTTTTCATTTTTACTGAGTCAGGGCTACATAACTGCTGTAACAAACATCCTCAAATTTCAGTGGTGGTAAAGAATACAGAGTCATTTCTGCTATGACAAAGTCAGAGCAGGGACAGAGTAGGCAGTATTAATCTTCCCAGACTCCTTCCAGCTCCAGCTGCTGCATCCCCAGGGCCAAGCGCTCCTGCACTGGGCCATCTGCCTCCCAGATCATCTGGGAACCTTTTGCAGACCAGGGCTGCTGCTGGTTTACAACACTTCTGCCCATGTTTATGTGGTCAGCACTCAAATACAGGGTATGGGTGCCAGGAAACTGTGAAGCCTGGAAGAAAAGGAAATGATTTAGGGGAACAAACAACCAGTCTCTGCCACACCACACATTTATTAAATGCAGGAGTGAGTGTTTGGTCTAGCAGTTAAGCTGCTGGTTAGAATTCCCACATCTCACATCACAGAGCCGGAGTTCAAGTCCCAGTTCCAGCTCCTGATCCCAGCCTTCTGCTAACACAGACCCTAGGAGGCAGCAGGTGATGGTTCAGGTATTTGAGTCCCTGCCATCCATGTGGGACATCTGGATTGAGTTCGCAGGCCCTGACTTCAGCCCAGCCCCATCCTGACTAGTACAAGCATTTAGAAGGAATGAAACACGGAATGGAAGCTCTGACTCTACCTCTTAAAAAAAAATGCAGACCTGAGTTCTAGATGCTGCAGAGAGGGTCTAGGCAGCATGATAACCACAATTTCTTTCTCCTTAACTCATTGGTGGGCCTGTCTCAAGATCGGAGTGGTAGCCCCTGCTACAGAAATGCCAGAGAGAGACACAGGAAGCAGTAATGAGCGTGAGATTCAAAAAGCAAGCAGGAAATACTGCAGCAAATGGCAGTGAGCACAAAGGGACAGAGAGGAGCCCGGTCTTGTACATGGATTATAAAGCTCAAGATGGCATGTGGTAGAGAAGTTGACTCTGGCCAAGTGTTGCATGCCTGTCATCAAGACTTACAGGTGCATGTTCCTGGAGCATCCTTTTATAAAAGAGAGGGGTTCATCTAGCCCAGAGTCATGTGGAATTCTGGCAGACAGAACTTTCTAGAGCATAGACTATAAATATTCCAAGGTTCTGAGATTTACTTAACAAAGGCTTTTCTTAGCAGTTCTCTAGCTGGAACTAGCGTTTAAGAGCAGTGTAATTAAAACCAGACACACCCAAGGC